AGGAGACTTCGTTTGAGCCGGTAGCGGGGGCGTTGGTCGCAAGAGCAAAGGGTCCAAACCGTAGTGGGAGGTCGCAGTCTAGAGGGGCACATCTTGGAGTTCGTAAGAATCAATGTGCCTTTTGCAAAGAAGATGGACATTGGAAAGCCGATTGCCCAAAGTTAGTTGATCGAGCCGGGAAGAATAAGGGAAAAGCTATTCAAGCTTCAGAGGCGAATGTTGTCAAGGCTAGTGGCAACGATTCAGATTCGGATTCTTCGGGCTACTCGTTATCTGCACTGCCGTCAGTTTGTGTTGCCTACTCTACAGAGTGGATATTGGATTCGGGTGCTACATACCACATTTGCCCTAGGAGGGATTGGTTCTCCAGCTTTCAGGAGTTGGAAAGAGGGGATTTCGTGCTCATGGGGAATGATCACAAATGCTCTATTGGTGGTATTGGTACTGTTCGGATCAGGATGAGTGACGGGGTGATTCGGGAGTTGGTTGGAGTGAGGTTCGTTCCTCAGTTGAAGAAGAACATCATTTCACTTGGAGCTTTGGAGGCAGCTGGCTATAGGGTGACCTTGGCGGATGCACGCTTGAAGGTTACATTTGGGTCCATGATTGTGATGAAGGGCGTCAGAAGAAGAAATTTGTATTATTTGCACGGAAGCACGGTGATTGATAGGGAAATGACGACTTCATCAGATTCGGCTAGACTGTGGCATTGTTTGGTGCTGGGGTATATGATTGGTAATACCGTGCATTGGTTGTTGAGGAGTGCTATGACCTGCAGATTGAAGTCCTGTGAGCACATTAGGATGAGCGAGACCGTGGTGGAGTTTGGCACTTCTATCCATCGAGCGAGGGGTCTTTTTGGAGGTGTTCAGTCAGGCATTTGGGGGCCTTCCAAGGAGGCATCATTGGGAGGTAATCGTATCTTGGTTTCCACAGTTGGTGATTGTTCTAGGCATTATTGGGTCGCGACCAGTTCCCGTTGGTGTAAAGTCCTAGAAGTCAACAACAATTGGAAGAAGTGTATTGGCAGAAAGGTAACTCATTGTTTCAGCTTTGGTAGGGGTCCTTTCTTGCGTTGGTGCCGAGCTCACGGCAATAGGAGACACTTCATTGGTGTGGAGACTTTGGGGCGACGAGATGAGATGACAGTTTCGATGGGTCGTTCCTTTCTGGAGGAGGATCGGCGTTTGATGTCGAGCATTGGCATTGGTGTGCGGGCTTCGACATATTTGGGTCATCTTATGCATAGGTCGCCGACTGCTGCTTTAGGAGTTATTAGATCTGGTGGAGCTGCTTCAGATTTTGGGTCGCGTCGGATATTTGGATACCCAGCATTTGGTCACATCGTGGATGTGAGATTGGATCCGATTGCGCGTTTGGGGTTCGGAGGCTCAGTTGATTATCGTTTGGGAGCTTCTGATTTTGTTCTGAGCAGGTATGTCACTTTTGACTCTCGGCAGGTGGAGAGTGTTGATCAGGTCATTTGGATATCGCAGCAGGTGGAGAGTGATGCTACTCCACGTTGGGTGGAGATTACTCCACATACTCCAGATCATACTGCGTCATTTGGGATTCCAGCTAAGGTGACACAGGTTGGAGATCATTTGGTTTTGGATGCAGATGATGGATTGGTTTTGGATTCAGTTGCAGCTGGTAGATATAGTTTGGATATGGCCATTGGTTTACCTCAGGTGGAGGTGTTTGATTTGTCTCAATTTGGGGTCATTGGGAATACTATCAGTTGCAGATCGTTTGGTGATATTGGAGAAGAGTTGCAGACTTTTCTATTTGATTGAGGGCCTTTGGAGGCCGTTTGGGTGAACTACGTGAAGGCTTGATTCCTTGGGCAAAGGATACGTAGGCAGTCATTTTGATGCAGCCGATTTGGTGAGCGACATCGACATTTGGGGTGAGTGTTCACACTCTCATTTGGGTCTCAGCATGTGAGGCATTTGTTTGGTTGGTGTCGGCTCAGTTTTGGGAAAACTTCGCCGAGGTGGAGAATTGTGGAGAAGAATTGGAAAAAGCAGATTTTTGGTCATAAGTCGACTCATGCACAGGCATAAGTCGACTTATGGTAAGTCGACTTATGTTGGTGCATGAGTCGACTTACGTTCTGCTCTGGATTGTTGGTTTTTTGCTCTGCCAAGTCGACTTATCAGGTCTGATAAGTCGACTTATGATCTCTTCTCCAGTTGCTGTTTTTCGCTCTGCCAAGTCGACTTATGCAGACTGATAAGTCGACTTATGACGGGTTTTTTGGAAAGTTCAGGTTCCTATTTGCAGTCTGTTTGGGTTTCTGTTTTGGTATAAATACCAATACGATTTGAGGGTTTTGTAAAAAAAAGGAAAACTTTTGTAAACAAAGCAGAGAAGGAAAAAAATCTGACGTGGCAGAGTTTTCATCAATTTCACTTGGTTGGGGAAGGAAATCAGAGAGGGAAAAAAAATCTTAGTTGGCACAAATTTCAGCAGAGTTTTCCCTCTTCCATCCGAGCGAACCAAAGCGGCACAAAGAAATGGACGGAAACAAAAAAAGCTGACGTGGAGGGCTAAAAATCTGACGTGGATGGGTTTTCTGAGTTTTCCACCCCTTATAATAGCGAACCAAACAGCCTCTTAGTATAAAATTATGGACTAAAATGGTAATAATAGGACAAGGATTCTATGCATCCTGCCATCCTGGATAGCAAATAACTTCAACAATTGGTTATATTTATTGATAGCATTGGCTTATTCAATGGGCCCATAATTAAAAGAACATTTTATATAATTTATATAATGAATATTATTCATGGAGTCCGCTGAGTGAGGAGATGTATATGATATCTACCCGCAATAATGTACATTTATTCTAGTTTAGGAAAGGAGGAGGGGGAAAAAGATAAAAGAGGAATTTACTCACTAGCGTGTGCTGACAATGGTAAACTAAGAAGTTGGATTAAATAGAATATATTTGATTTATCAAGTATAATTTCACATGAGATCACAAAGCATAAGTCAATTGGTGGTCTGAAAAAAATTGGGACGGCTACATAGATTATCATTGTGTTTACATCTGTTTACTCATGTTGGACACGGTTTGCTTAGAGCCTGAGCCTAATAAACCTCCCCTTAATATTAAATTAAAAAGAGCAATTATTTGAAAGATATTAAAGTAAATAATTGAACCCTGAAAGCAGGACAAAAGCATGGCGTCGTAAACAATAATTGTTGGCAATTGCCTGTAACAGGCCATATCTAAAGGTCCTACAGTCACATGAGAGAATATTATACACTAATAAGCATTTGAAGAAAAAAAAAAGGTTTAGCAAATAATAAATAATTGGTCAAAGTTGTTAACACCACATGAAATAGAATTAAAGAGTGCAATATGATAATGCTCCCAACTCCCAAGAAACAATAGCCTTCGTTTTGGTATGCGTCTCTCGTAATCATGTTATTGAATTAAAAGGAAGAACAAAGAGCCATGATAATTGTATTGTACTTTTAATACTTTGAAATATTATTATAAGAGCAAATTGATTTATTTTATCTCATCATTCATTTCAATACATAGTAAAACGACCTGAGCGAGGTCTCATCAGTCACTTGACGGGTAGCATAAAAAATAGTACAGGTAAATTTTTCTAGAGTAAATTGTAGAAATTTCTACATGTTTATGCTTAGATGGATTATAGAAAATTGTTCTCTATTACCGAGGTGTGACGGAGAATTTTTCTAATGTGTTCAAATCAATCAAAATTTTCTCATGTTATTGAATTCAGAAGAAAACATATTTGTGCTAACTCACATGTTAAAAGGATTTACGTCACATTTGCCTCAAAGGAAGATACAACTCAAACAGTTAAAAAGAGGCTTAACTTCAGAAAAAATGAAAGTTGAAGGTATGAATAACATTGGCGTCAAAATCAAAGAATCTATAGGTATTGATGAAATTAAGGGAATAGGAATTTCTACAGCACATGCTTAACTCCAAATAGGAATTACTTGGTTATTGAAATTTTATATTTCAATTAATATTATTCAATATTAGTCTCATTTTGAAGGTATTATTTCAATTAATATTATTCAATATTAGTCTCATTTTGAAGGTATCGACAAAACATTTCCAACTGTAAAACTTTTATTTAAAAATAATTAGTAGAAATAAACTTATATTGATTTTAAATTAAATATCTAAAAATAATTAGTTAGTTAGAATGATAAAGTGGAAATTTTATGAGGGGGAATAGTGAAATGGAGGGGCTGCATATTTGGAGGATAAAGCTCCAAATATGCAGCCCATCTTCCGATTTTGCAGCCGGACTCCAAAAATTGGAGTCCGATTGGAGCTCAACCGGGCTACATTTTGGAGAAATGCAGCCTGGTTGGAGCTGCTCTTATCCATTGATCCCATCAGAAGCTCTCCTTTTGGTTGATAAAAAAGCTAAACAGACCCATTAGTGGAAGTTGACAGCAACCAGCAAAATACATTGTAAGAGCAACTTCTAATAGATAAGTGTAGATAAAGCGAAATCTTCTAGGTGGAATACTTTCCTCTAGAGAAAGCAAACATCTTTTACTTTAAGCTTAAAAGGCTAGGGTGAGAGTAAAATCAATGTGATAAAAAAGGCAAAGATTCTTCAAAGGATTACATCAAGGCAGGTATAACATCTTTGTCCTTGAAAGCAGTCACCAGGGGACAAACAGAGCGCATAGCTCTCAATGAGGAAACGCCCTTTGTGACTGCATTGGCCAACATCACAAAGACAAGCACAACTCAACAAGAACATAACGATAACAAGGGAAATTGGAATTACGATAAGCTCATGGCCTCATCAAAGGCCCTTCTAACTCACAATGTTCCAAGGTCGAGAGCAATTTGCCTCTTAAAAACTACGTAAAGCGAAACCAAATTCAGAAGAAGAAGAAAACTATTGGCGTAGTTAGTATATAAGGGAAGTTTGTTTAGTCCAAAAAAACATTGAACCGTTAGAACAGGTTGAGAACTAAGAGACGTATGAAGATTCAGATGGGAGAAGTAAAAGAATATAACAAGAGAACTACAAATATCCAATGCGTGAATGTATATTCATCTATCTATCTACAAAAAGAATTGTTTTTCCCTATCTATCTATAATTACAAAAGCTGAGATAAAAACAACATCAACGAGGGGGGGAAAAACAAAAAAAATTCTTCTACTCTTCTGTATACCAAAATGTGATGAATGTAGTATAATCCTCTCACTGAACTACCATGGAAGTAGCCCAGTATTCCTATCAGCAAAAACCTGCAACACCCAATCTCTAAGCCCAGTATCATTAACCTCACAAAATCTCGTCGACCAATTAGGAGGCTCAACAGCCTTCGTCCCTAATCCTGGTGCTCGATCCTTCGATCCCATATTCGATCCCACATTTTACCTCGTTGATAACTACCTACCTGTGGCTGAGATCTAGAGGCGTAGAAGACAAAGCCAGAGAAGAGGAAGACGGGCAGGGAGAGCAGGACAATCCGCTCGTGGAGGAGGACGAACGTGCCGAAGAAGACGAAATCTCGTCGACCAATTAGGAGGCTCAACAGCCTTCGTCCCTAATCCTGGTGCTCGATCCTTCGATCCCACATTCTCCTCATCTTGCCAATCTGCAACATAAGTAGCCACCCTTCTGTAGAACTTCTCTTTGAACACCTCCCACACTTGATACTTATAGTGGTTTACAACCATAACCCTAATATCCATATTCAAATACCTGATCCCTTCTCTCAAATGAAAGTGATGCACAATGTTGATCAATGATGGATTCAATGCCTCGGGCCTAACAATTGATTTGTGTCTTTCTGGTGCAGCCACACGGCAAGTGTACCCTACTGTTACACCATCCGATGGTATTTTCTTTAGTCCAGAAGGACCAAAACTATGACAAGGGGTTCTAATTTCGCCAATCCATGGCTTATTTGAGTAGTTTGCCAACAAATCAGGCAATGTTACATTGCTTGGAAGGTACAAGAACTCATCGACATCAATGAATCCAACCCATTCACAAGAATCACGTGCACGGAGTGCACAGTGTGCGAATCCTGCCTCTTGAGTCTTCACCCATGGCCATTCATGGAGGCTCACTGAACTCATCGAGCTGACAACTTGCTCAATGCCATCATCGCTGTTGTTATCATAGATGAACCATCGCTCAACCCCAATCCGAGCGTGGTATGCAATCCATTCTTGCAAGAATCGAGCTTGGTTACGGACCATTGTGCAAATGCACATATTATGCTTCTTTTTTCTCTTAGGGTTGGATATTGTTAATGGGTGAGCCACAGTAGGTAGCGTGATTGAGCCACGACCTCTAGTTTTAATCGAAACCAAAGGGGGATTTACATTGGATGGTCTGAGAACACTGAGAGGAGTTTTGCAACGAAAAATCTCTTGAGCAGCAGAAACCACCGGAGTAGTGAGTGCATACTTAGGATTGTCAAAACGCCAACCAAACACACATTCATATCGATTAGTATCAGATAAGCGAGCAGACCGGAGATTGAACCCTTTAGCGAAGACAACAGTGGTGTTATCTCGATGATCTATGACTGCAGAGTAAGCCAAACGATCCCAACTGAGAGGCACAACAGGAGGTAAGGATACCGAAGGCGAGAGCGAGAAAGACACTGAGGAGCCAAATGGAGCGAGAGGGCATCGGATGAAGAGGTTAAGTGTAGAAGAGGAGATTGGGGGCAGTTTGAGATTGGGGTTGTGAGATGAATTGGAATTGTAATAGAGGCATTGGAGGTCTGAGCTGAGGGTTTCTAATGGGGGTTTAATGAAGAGGAGTATCAAATCAGGAAATGAGACTGCTTCTTGGATTTTGAGAGAAGGGGGATTTGGGGGGCTTTGAAGAGGCAACGGCTGCTCTGATGAGAGGGCATTCATGGCAGGGGTTTGCCACGTGGACACCAGGACCGGCCTGAAGGACACTGTTCAAAAAAATTAGACAGGAATCAGAGAAAATTGTTAGAGACAGAAGTATGTAGAGTTAGATTGGTTAAGAACAGAGAGAATTTAGGAGAATAGGACATTTGTTGGTGGTTACTGATATCGATGAGGATTGCAAAATAAAACCTGATTAAAATCAGGAAGGGGGAAAAAACAAAATACCTCGCTGAAAATAGGATATTAACGTGATTAAAACAAACCAACTAAAAAAGTTGAAATTTTAGTTAGGCATAACTTCGAAAATAACAGTCACAGTTGCAAGAAAACAGACAGATCTAAGCCCAACAACAATCCTTAAAATTAAAAGGCAAAATCCATGAAACAAAGCACAGATCCAATAGGACATCAACCAATAGTAAATTTCAACAAATCAAATAATAATCTCACCCCAAAATTTACAGTAAATAAAAAACCAAAAAAGATCCCCAATCCACATATGGGTCTCAAACCTCATAATTTCAACTGAACAACAAGTACCCAGATAACAAAATCCAATTTTTAAGTCAAAAGTCCAATACTTTCACCGCTCTCAACAAGAAATGAGTGATAGGTAAGCTTGAATTACCTCCAAAAAGGCGAAACGTCGAGAAACCAACAGTGAAGAAGAGAGCACAGCAGAGAATAACAAAGAAAGAAGAAGAAGAAGAGTGAAGAGATCTCCTCTTCTTCATGATTCTCTCCTTTATCATCACCGCCAGCGGAGCACCAGATCCATCAAGTTATTTCTGGTCCTAATTTATTTTTCTTTCTTTTTAACAGATTGAGAGAGAAAAAGAAACGCACGTTCCCGTCGGTTTTAAGACGTGGGGGTTGGATTTGGAATGAGAATTATAAGGAGGGGATGATACTTGATTTGAGAGAAGATGATGGGTCACAATCTGATGGGTTTAGGAGCTTAACGATAAGATAATAACCCAGGAACTATTTCATTACCCCACGTCTCGATCATTACTCGAAGTTCTTAAATTAAACTTCATCTAACCATTAGTATAATAATGTTAATATGCAAATTTTCTTTTGGGTAAATTGCACTTAAATGATGTATAGTTTCCTACTTGTTGCACGTACATATCACAAGTTATAGTTTGGTGTTAAAAAAACATACTAAAGTTTCTAAAATTTACATGTTACTACCATCGGTCGTGAAATCGTAGAAATTCTCACTCGAATGTCTCTATCTGATATTTACATACTAATTTAAGTACTTTCTAACTATTAATATATTAATATTTGTTAAATTTTTTATTAGAAGTATCCCAACTTTGTTTTAATTAGTTGAATTAAGATAAGTTTGAAAAATAAACCTGGTTGATTTAATAGCAAATTTAACACATATAGAAGTTCTAAATTTTGTGTATAAGCATCATAGAGGAAAATTTTCACGTTTACATGATCCATTGTAGTAACTGTTAGTCTAAGTGTGTAGACCCAAAGCTGCAATCGAAAAGACGAAGAAAACAGTCAGAAGACTGTGCGGTCGACCGCAGTGGCAGAGCCGGTCGACCGCGTGCACTGCAGGAGACTGAGAAGAAGTTTTCGCTCTGGCCGGTCGACCGGCGTGGTCGCTGCGGTCGACCGATATCGTGCACAAGACCCTGTAGGATTTCGTCGTTCTGACCGGTCGACCGACCTTGGCAAAGCGGTCGATCGCGACGCAGATTCGTTGTTTTCTATTTTATCTAGGAATCCTGTTCTGCTGGGGTTTGTTATAAATACCCAAACGTTTCTAGGGTTTGTAGGACATCAAAAAGAGAGCTTTTTGGCTGCTAAGAGAGAGAGAATCTCAGAGAGATTTACCCCTTGTTTGAGAGCTTGTATTTTCTTCTTCAATTAATAGAAAGATTGTGTGGTGTGGCTCCCGAGGACGTAGGCACGTTGCCGAACCTCGTTAAATCTGTGTGTTCGTCTCTTTTACTGTTTTTACAAGGTTAGATCTTTATTTGTGGTTTATTCCTACTTTCCTACTTTCAACACAAGGTCCGGAAGGGCAAGGGTTCGATTGATTGTTTCGAATCCCCAACAACTGGTATCAGAGCTTCGTTCAGCAATTTGTGTGAAAGCCATGGCAGAGGAAAGCAAATCAAAGAGACTTTGCCTACTGGAAGTCGCAGATGGAGGACTATCTGTACCAGAAGGACTTGTATCGCCCGCTTCTGGGCAAGGAAAAGGGAAAGAAGACGACGGAGTCAGATGGTGATTGGGAGGTACTGGATAGGAAGGCTCTAGGGCAAATCCGGTTGTCGCTCGCCAAATCAGTAGCCCACAATATTCTGAAGGAGAAGACGACGGTGGGGCTTATGGAAGCGCTCGCGAAGATGTACGAGCAACCGTCGGCAGCAAACAAGGTGCATCTAGTCAAAACTCTTTTCAACCTCAAGATGGCAGAAGGACGGTCCTTCACGATGCACCTCAGCGAGTTCAACACGATTGTTGATCAACTTATCTCCGTGGACATCACGTTCGATGACGAAGTGCAGGCCCTTCTACTACTATCGCAGTTGCCGGATAGTTGGGCAGGTTGTGTGACGGCAATCAGCAATTCGGCGGGGAAAGAGAAGTTGAAGCTGAATGAGGTTGTTAGCATGATTCTATCCGAGGAGGTTAGAAGAAAATCGTCCGAATCAGAAGGTTCAGGTTCAGCCCTAAGTTTCGAGCAGAGAGGCAGAAGCCAGAAGAAAGGGAACCAGAACAGGAATCGGTCGAAATCAGTGAAGAAGAGGCCGAACTCGAAGGTTAGGTCTATCAAAGGGAAGTGTTGGAACTGCGGCCAGGAGGGCCATATGTCTTCGGTCTGTAAAGCACCAAAGAAGGATGCGGGTGAGCAGGAGGCTCATATCGTGCAGGATGCCTTGATCCTTGCTATGGATAGCGATTCTGATTCTTGGGTCATCGACTCAGGAGCTTCTTTCCACGCCACTGCTAATAGGAAACTACTTCAGAACTATGTAGCAGGGGACTTTGGTAAAGTATACTTGGGGGATAATGAACCTTGCAATATTGTTGGAAAGGGCGACGTTCAGATACAGATAAAGGGCTCTAAGTGGAACTTGAAGAACGTGAGACACGTGCCGAAGCTGAAGAGGAATCTTGTTTCGGTGGGACAGCTTGGAGCAGAAGGCTACGTTTCGACATTCACCGGGGATTCGTGGAGGATCTCCAACGGTACGATGGTTGTTGCCAGAGGCAACAAAACGGGAACTCTCTACCTCACTTCACATGCGAGTGACACCCTCGCAATTGCAGCTGGCAAGGAGAGTACAGATCTGTGGCACAATAGGCTGGGGCACATGAGCGAGAAAGGGATGAAAATTCTACATTCACAAGGACTCCGTGGACATCACGTTTGATGACGAAGTGCAAGCCCTATTGATTCTATCGCAGTTGCCGGATAGTTGGGCAGGTTGTGTGACGGCAATTAGCAACTCGGCGGGGAAAGAGAAGTTGAAGCTGAATGAGGTTGTTAGCATGATTCTATCCGAGGAGGTTAGAAGGAAATCGTCCGAATCAGAAGGTTCAGGTTCAGCCCTAAGTTTCGAGCAGAGAGGCAGAAGCCAGAAGAAAGGGAACCAGAACAGGAATCGGTCGAAATCAGTGAAGAAGAGGCCGAACTCGAAGGTTAGGTCTATCAAAGGGAAGTGTTGGAACTGCGGCCAGGAGGGCCATATGTCTTCGGTCTGTAAAGCACCAAAGAAGGATGCGGGTGAGCAGGAGGCTCATATCGTGCAGGATGCCTTGATCCTTGCTATGGATAGCGATTCTGATTCTTGGGTCATCGACTCAGGAGCTTCTTTCCACGCCACTGCTAATAGGAAACTACTTCAGAACTATGTAGCAGGGGACTTTGGTAAAGTATACTTGGGGGACAATGAACCTTGCAATATTGTTGGAAAGGGCGACGTTCAGATACAGATAAAGGGCTCTCAGTGGAATTTGAAGAACGTGAGATACGTGCCGAAGCTGAAGAGGAATCTTGTTTCGGTGGGACAGCTTGGAGCAGAAGGCTACGTTTCGACATTCACCGGGGATTCGTGGAGAATCTCCAACGGTACGATGATTGTTGCCCGAGGCAATAAAACGGGAACTCTCTACCTCACTTCACATGCGAGTGACACCCTCGCAATTGCAGCTGGCAAGGAGAGTACAGATCTGTGGCACAATAGGCTGGGGCACATGAGCGAGAAAGGGATGAAAATTCTACATTCACAAGGAAAGCTAACCGGGATCGACACCGTGGAAGTCGGGGTTTGTGAAGACTGCATCTTTGGGAAGCAGAAGAGGGTTAGTTTCCAGAAGGGTGGAAGGCCACCTAAGGCTCAGAAGCTAGAGTTGATTCATACAGATGTATGGGGTCCAGCCAGTGTGTCCTCTTTTGGCGGTTCGAGATACTACGTTACCTTTATCGACGATCACTCGAGGAAGGTGTGGGTTTACTTCATGAAGCACAAGTCAGAGGTGTTCGAGATCTTCAAGAAGTGGAAGGCCATGGTCGAGAACGAGACAGATCTGAAGGTGAAGTGCTTGAGATCAGATAATGGTGGAGAATACGAGCTGGAGGAGTTCAAGAGGTTCTGTGCTACGAATGGGATTCGCTTAGAGAGGACTACTCCAGGGACGCCGCAGCAGAACGGCATTGCAGAGAGGATGAACAGGACCTTGACAGAGCGTGCGCGGAGCATGCGATTACATGCAGGTCTGCCTAAGATATTTTGGGCGGATGCGGTGCATACGGCAGCATACCTTATTAATCACGGGCCATCAGTTCCATTAGATTTTGGGATTCCAGAGGAGGTTTGGAGTGGAAAGAAGATAAATCTCTCACACTTGCGGGTATTTGGTTGCGTGGCTTATGTTCATATCAGTGACCATGTCAGGGACAAGCTAGAAGCTAAGTCACAGAAGTGCACATTCATTGGATACGGCATTGATGAGTTCGGGTATCGCCTTTGGGATGAGAAGAACAGGAAGATCATCAGAAACAGGGACATGATATCCAATGAGGAGGATAGCCAAAGCAGTGGGAGCAGCACTACGGATACAGGTGGATCCGAGTACATGGACTTGGAGGAACTTCCAGATGGGGGCGACGATGTCAGTTCTGACCGTAGAACGAAGGAGACTACAGGTGCAGAAACTACTACCCAGGGCATGGAGCCTAGGAGGTCATCTAGGGTACCCAAACCAAATCCCAAATACCTCTCGTCACTTGATAATGACGAGTTGTACTATCAGAAGAATAATTCAAGAAAGAGGATTGTCCGAGGGAATGAGTCCCATTGCACTTGCGAGAGACTCATCAAAGCAGTGCTGACAGAATGCGGATGCTCTAAGAATAATTCAACAAGAGTCTCCGTATTTCAAAGATTGTCCAATGAAGCGTCAAGACCCAAAATGAGACGTTTCAACAAGAAAAAATCTGTAGGTGAAAGACGCAGTCGATTACGCACGACAATGTGTAGTGTGTCAATTGCATGCAAATTATATGCACATACCCCCTGAATATCTGCATCCTTCGGCGACATCGTGGCCATTTTAAACTTGGGGAATGGATATAGTAGGTCCTATTTTTCCACCTTCGGTTAAAGGGGACCGTTTCATTTTGGAAATCACCGATTATTTCTCGAAATGGGCAGAAGCAGTTCCACTTAGAGAAGTAAAGACAGCTGATGTTATCAAATTTATTAAACACCACATCATATATCGGTATGGTGTGCCAAGGCGAATAGTGCACGACAACGGTCCTCAGTTCGTGAGCAACGCATTTATCAAATTCTGCGGTAAGTTCGGGATTAAGGACGTTTCGTCGACTGCTTATAATCCTACAGCCAACGGATTGGCCGAAGCTTTTAACAAGACCATCATCAAAATTCTGGCAAAA